GACAGAGAGAGAGAGAGGGAGAGGGAGAGGTCTTCTTCAACCTTTAATTGTATTGCTGGTAAAATTAAATGTAGCAAAAACAGATGGCTGGACCACACATTGGCTTGAATATCTGCAAACAAGTTCATGTGTTAGAAAGTGTGGTTTGGTGGACAGAAGTGATGAGTTGTAGTAAATTGTATTTAAGGCCACAAGAGGGTCCAAGTCTTAAATGTGAGCCATTAAATCAAAGAAGTGTCAATGTTTAAATTAAAATTCGGTTTGAAGTCGAGTTATACAATCTGGAGTGAATTCAAGTTTGATTCTTAGGTTACAAAATTTGCATTGAAGTTTGAGTTTAATTTGGATTAATTTTGGGCTAAACATATATTCTATAATTTGGTTTTGGTTCGGATCAAGTTCTGATAATGTTAGACCTAACTCGAGCACTATTTATATTCTAATCAGACTGCGATTCTTTTGCCTAAGCTCAACTCAAGGATTGGATGTCTCCGTCCAAGTATTGAATAATTTGGGTTACCTTCGAATTGCCCCGCCCAAATTATACCCTTAATACAGAGCTAAGAGCTAAAATTTTCTTGGTAGTTAAAGGCCAAATGGAATTGGCCATAGAACTTGTTCATGAATTACATTTACACCCATCAAATTGGATAAGGGTATATAACGACTTTGTACTATAGTTAGTAAATAATTTATGTACAGTACTACAAGCCCATCCTTGCTGGACATGCTACTAAATATCCCAAGTACAACATTTTGCTATAAAAGACTCAATGCGATGGAGTTTATATTTTTATGTTATAGTGTGAGATACTTTGTACTCGAGGCCATTGTATGATTTAAATTAGTGGGTACAATCTTAGGGGTAGTTCAAGTGCTAATAGAGACAAGTTATAAATTCAAACGTTTTGAATTCGAATTTTAACAATTTTTTGTGGTCATGTCAAGAAGAATTTATCTCTCATGAATACTCTAGATCGACGTGGATGATCTGTCTTTAACCAAATCAGAAAAGAAATTAGTTAAGATATATATAAATTAGACTAAACATTCTTGATTGTGAAAACAAAAAAATAGTAGGTGCAATGGTAAAAGTTAGGGTTATTTATTAGTGTGATACTACAGCCTGCAGGTTTATATTTGAAAGCAACCACTTCTTTAACTGTTATACATGATAAGCCCTTTGTTTTGTTCGGTTTTTTTCTTTTGTTCATTTTCAAAACACAGACACTCGGGCCTACAAGTCCAACCCACGTACCATGCACCACGATAATGTTGAAATTAGATTTTTAGTCAACATCTCTCATCAACAACAAGAACCATTAAGCGAATAAGTAGTGAGACCTAAATCAACACGTCTCAAGTTTTTCTTACAGAGTCTAAGTCTAGTTACTCAACTAATCCACTCGTCAAGTGTGGGTGGTATAGTAGTTGTGTGGTAGTTGAGAGTCCACCCCTTTTTCTTCGGTAAAGTTGATTCAGTTTTAACTAATGCATGTGGTGTGTGAGTGATTTACGTACGTGTATTTAAAATTTGTGTTACAAGCATTAAAAAATTGTCAAAAATGATGAAATATTATTAGGGGTCAAAACCTGATTATAGTAAGGTTGGTGGTAATGCAAAAAATAGTTTGGAGATAGGCGTCCATCTACAGGTAATTGTGCTTGTGATGATGTTATGTGTACAGAGGAAACATGCTTATCATCACGGGTAAAACTTCTTGTGAGAGGGACGACTAATCAACTTCATCATCATGAATTTCACTTTCAAAGCTTTGTCGTTCATTACGTATTACGATTCTTAATAAGGTCTCATGCATGCATGGTAAGTAAGCTTTCATCCATGCAAATTGAGATAAGAAGGCTTTTGTACGTGCTAATAATCAAGTTATCATCATGAGAATCACTTGGAGGAGGAATGTCGAGTAAAATTCGAACATCTATAATCACATGTAAACCACAAGTAAAATCACATGTAAACCACAAGTATAAGTTCAACTCGGACTCACATGTAAATCACAAGTATTCTAGGATTAACTCTACAATAGTGGATTACCCGCACGCTCATAGTTGAGCTTTTAAGTCATCTTAAATATTCATGAACAATGAATTATGGTCAAAGATATTTAGATTGCAAACCCAAGTAGTTGAAACAATTCTCATTGTTGACAGGTAAACCAAACGTCCTAAATTTCACCATTACTTACTGAATGATACATCTTTGAGGAAAAAATACATGATTTGGTTATGTATTATATTGTTATTATAGGTAATCCGTGTTTGAAAGCACGACAAATGAGAAGTGATGAATTTGAGAGAGAGGAATTCAATGTGAATGAATTCGATGGAGATGTTGGTGACCGTTAGATGAGTCTATTTGAGACCGTTGAATTGACTTATCGAAGTCTCTATCATATTTTATATTATAGATTATAGATGTTAACGTGGGGTGTACCCTTTTCAAAAATTGAGAAAATTTTTATTATGGAGCCAACATATAATAAATGAGTTTATATCAATCATGTGAGAGTGGATAAAACACAAAAGATATTAAATCCTTGGATCACTTTGTCACGAGAAGAAGATTGCTTTAGATTTGCACTTTATGTTCTTTTGTTCACATGACCCATAATTAATTTTTGTAAAGTGTCATTATTAACATTTAGATAGAAAAGAAGATCCCAAAGGCTTGGTTTGGTTCAGACAAAGAGTGAGGTGCAATCATGAGGCAGTGTGCACATAAAGGAGACAATAGAAGAAGGTGCTCATGTGAAGGCAGGTCGACCCCATGCACTCTCTCTGTCTCTCTCTCTCTCTCTCTCTCTCTCACTCACACACACACACTATAGAGATTGCAGAATAGACACCAGTGAGGGGTCCAACCTTTCCACGAGCAATCACATTCACACACATGATTTGTTCTCTGCCTACTTGACCCAAGAAAGCAGCTCACATCTGCTGGAAAAGAAAAGGAGTCAGTTGAGGATAGATGCAAAGATATCTACTGTGAGGAGTGTTACCAAGGAAATGATCTCCTGCTAGGACAGCTCTCCCCCACCCCCCCCCCCCTCTCTCCCCGGGGGGCCTTCCTTCTCTCTCTCTCTCTCTCATATGACTTGGGGAGTGAAAACTGCCAGGTTGGCCATTGTTGTACAATATAGGTCCAGGATGTTACAATTGGTAATGGATCCCAAATGAAGATCTCTTGGCTTAAGGGGATCGATATGCAAGTGGATGTGGATTGTTACGTAAATGTATGCCTCGAATGCACAGCACATTTTAAAATTGTGGGAGATTAAGTCAAATTGAACAATATTGTTCAATACGAGTCAGAGCCTGATCTTATGATCATGCATTCCACCAACTAAATTTACAATAGTGTACTTATTGATTTTTGAATTATTTTAACAATTCAATTAAATAACGTGCACCAATTTAACAACACAATAAACTAACAATACTAAAACCTAAAACAATTACAATAAAGTATAAACATCAATTCATCATAATTGTTGCATAAATACAATAACAATTATTTTAACTTTAAACCATATGGTTAGGAAATTAGGGTTTTTAGTGTATATATATATATAAATTAACGCGGGTAGGGTAGGGTAGGGTAGGGTAGGGTAAGAATAAGAAAATTAATGGATAGTTCGCATTCCTACCCGATTTACTCTTCTGCATTCTTACCCGATTTTTTTCAGCTAGCAGTTCAATAGGGTCGGGTATAATAAGAAATTGCGATCAAATTTGAACATCCAGTCGTGGGTTTCTTCGTCGTCCTCCTTTCTTTAATAATTTCTGATGAAAAAAATCTAATATATTCAAATCTTTCCAATCCCAGATATTTTTTTTCTTTCTATTCTATCCAAACCTCAGAGGTTGTCAAATTCCAAAATCATCTCCAGCAAGTGTCATTGATTTTTTTATTTTTTTGCAATATAGTAGAGAAGCTTAGCATAAATTTGTGATTAGGCCTTGTCATGGCGAAATGTCTGCTCGATTATATGGGCCTTCTTATTAAGCTTTAAGGGGCTTAACTAAACTTTTGTCGTACCCGGACTCACCCGCCGCAAATGGACTTTTGAAGCCCATTATCCTATGGGTAGGCCCTGTTACTACTATTGGCAACATACTGCTAGTCTACTCCTTGCAAGTAGTAGAGTCAATTTTATAAATTAATACAAACACAATATGAATTAAACACAATACACATTTTAAATTAGAAATTTTAATTAATACAAATAATAAATAATTGGGCAGACAACCTTACGAAAACAAATGATTGCTTTGACAAGCTCTAATACTTGAGTGACTCAAGTTTCAATTGAATGTTCGTAAGTTACTTCAGTTCGTATTCAACTGATTTTAACCGAGATGAATCTAAGTATTCAAATTCGAGAAACTCATCTTGATTACAACCTTCATCGTTAATTAATAACAAAAGTTGCAGCTCTTGAGTGAGCTGGTTAATTATTACCCATAAATAGAAAAACATATCTTAAATTAAATTAAATTCGACGTTGATTGTTAAGGCAATAAGTTGGGACAATCTCTCTCAATCAAACTTTGTTATGTCGTCAAGATAGTTTCGGCATGGATGATATGCCTTTCACCGGATTAGAGAGGGGATTAGTTGAGATGCGAGTAAACTGGTTTGGACACCCTGACTTATAAATCGAAAAAAAAAACAAAGAATAATGAAAATACAGAAAGCATACAAAACTTGAAGAAACTTTAGTGAATTCTCTATAGCCGACCCTGGCAGGCTGGCCGGCCTCCTTACCCTATTTTCTCCACACACACACACACACACCCACCCACCCACACCATATATATAACTAGCAACTCTATCATACACAACCTGAAGGAAAAATTTGAATAATCTCTGTAATTTATCACACCAATCCCTCAACTATCTCTCCTATAACATTATTCTCCTTTAATCTCTCTCTCTCTCACACACACACCCACACACGCACAGCTAAAATAAGAAAATGAGGCAAGCAAGGACATATTTAGGGATACTAGCAGGAGGGGATTCTGGTAAAAGTGGACCTCACTCATTGCCATTGCCCAGGATCAAGAAGAAATCCAACCACGACGTAAAAATGATATCTGGGGAGGCCCCCATTGTGTTCTCTATGGCTTGTGAGCTGTTCATAGAGGAACTCACGAGGAGGTCTTGGACGATGACCATGGAAGGCAAGAGGAGGACACTTCATAAAGAAGATGTTGCTTCTGCTGTTATAACCACTGATATCTTCGACTTTCATGTCAACTTGGTTTCTAATTGCTCAAATTCGGACGTCGCCCAGCCTATTATTGGAACATAAGAGTTGGAGAATGTCTCTATACTTCTGGCCAAGTGTAAGTCTCGCCGCTACAAGTATGAGGAGGTTCAGGTACACACAGTATTGCAGCACGCAGAAAAGTTATTTTCGCTACTCGAATCCTTAGTTTCTGAGTATATACACTTGCTCAAAAGTGTTATGGAATCATGAGATCCAAGCATTTTGTTATCTTGTTTGACACCTTGTACTACTTTGATTTCTTCTTGTTAAAACTTCCTACCCGCTAAACCTGGCTAGTGGACAAAGTTTTGATGCTTGATCCAGAAAAAAAAAAAAAAACGAAGTTTTGATGATTACCTCAGTGGTCATGCCTAGGTGCTGGGAGTCCCAGTTCGAGCTTTCAAGCATGGGTATCACCCTTCAAACTTAGATAGTCTCAAAGTTACCGGGGGCAATCAGCACCTTGGCTTCTAATTCATTGAACAAATAGTGATAATTATATAGTGAAATCGAGAACTGATACTAATTTAGTGAATATAACATAAATTCTAAATAAGTGTAGGACTATAAGCACCACTATAACAATGTCGAATTATTCACTCTCATATTTTGGTTAATCTGGCATATTTTTCGTGGGGACACGGACCCCCTCATATATGACCTAAGGGCATGATTGTCATTTTACTATGAGTTAAGGTCACCCCTCAGCTCCGCCGCTATGGGGCAACCTATGAAAACAATCCTTATAAAATTTTAATATACCAAATTGATATGAATTATTAGATTAGTAGTTATTATTAACTCCACTAAGCATCCAGTAATTATGATTATGCCACATTATTTGGAATAACAAATTTGATATAAATGTTTGGTACATGCAACTTTATTCTTAGCAAAAGATGAAACTCCTGAATTAACCCCAAAATACTTGGCTTAACTTAACATTTCGACTAGTTATGTGGTGAAGCTTTGCTTTGTGAAGCCTTTAGTCTAATTGTACTTCTTGTCTATTAAAAATTTTACTTTCTTGAGATCAAGAATTCAAGTTTCTCTCTCCTCCCCCTCCCCCTCCCACTCCCACTCCCAAAAAAAATTGTGGTGACTCAGCCTCAACTTGTCTAGTGAAGTTTTGTCAGTTGTTTAATACTAGGGATAATTTTTGTCTGAAGGAACGTTGCAACATAAATCAACCAATTAATTTAGAAAAGTGAGGAGTGAAGATCCCTGAGAACAATGGCATAGCCAAAAATATGATTTTGGGCGGACACACTTTAAGTATAATAGATAACAATAGTGTAATATATTTATATTTTTTATATTAGATTTGATACTTAAAAATTCATTAAACATAAAAAAAGTCAATTTGAAAAAAATTAATAAGATAGTATCTATACATTAAGGATCAATAATTTAATTTATTTGATACAAATAAAAGTAATATTCTATAATTTTTAATTTTTTTATAAATATTATATTTTACTCATTTTTGACTATATATTATATAATTTTTGAACCGAATGAGATTTCAACAAATCATACCAATATTNATATTCTATAATTTTTGAACCGAATGAGATTTCAACAAATCATACCAATATTCTAAGAAATCAATTTTAGTTTGTTAATCAGAGATTTGCTATGGACTTTTTATTTTTGTTTTTTTGTTCTAGTACCCAACTTGTTTGATTTTGTTTTTCATAAATCATTACAGTGAGCCCAACTAATCTAAAAAAAATATATAAAACATAAATAATTAAAAAAATATTTTTTTCAGGGTGCCCCCAGACACCTCCTCCCTCCGCCACTGTTAGAGAAAGAGAGTGAAGAGTGAGAAGAGTAAAGTAAAATTCAATATCAATAGTATTGAGAGAGATGTTGGTGGCCGTTAGATGAATTTATTTGAAACCGTCGGATGGGCTTATTTAACCCGCCCTATTTTATATTATAGAATCCACAAAATATAATATGATTGATTTAAAAAAATATTTAATTTATATATATGTAATCAAAATCGAATATTAATTTATATACATATAATCAAAATTGAGTCAAATTTAATACAAACTAAAAATCTAATTTATCAAAAAGCATATCATCAAAATATTTTATATCAAAAAAAATCTACAAATATTATTTATAAAATATTTTTTTTAATTAGTACAAGTTATTACAAAATTATTAATTTTTAAGAATATATTAGTGTAGGGTTTTCTTAAGAGATAAAAAAAATAGTCTTGAACTTTTGATTCCAGACATGTGTAAGGCATGTTAGTTTGAGATAGTTAATTAAATAAATAAAATTAAAATTAATTATATTCAATATAAATGTGTTAAGCAACACCTTTGTTTTTTTAATATGTTAAATTAATGAATTTTTTTTAATCAAAATATTATCATTGTCTCCCATACAAATTTAAAATGTTTACACAGTTGATATTAGTAGCAAATTTGAACAATTTAATTATTATGTTAGAGAAAATCTTGTGATCCAAGTCAGCTGTAATCTTTGACCGGTTGAGAGGGAAATATTAAGGAAAAAAATTTAATTTCTTAACCGTTGGATGAATAAATTTGAGACCGTAAGATGTGTTCCAAAATTAGCTGTAATCGTTGACCGGTTGGGAGAGGAAATATTAAGAAAAAAATGGTAATTTCTTGACTGTTGGATGAATGAATTTGAAACCGTATGATAGACTTGTAGAAGCCGTCTTATTTTATATTATAGATTATAGATATAGATTTGACACAAATAAAAACAATATTCTATATTTTTTTTAATTACAAATTTCATATTTTACTCATTTGGCTATGTATTCCATATTTTTTGAACCAAAATGAGGTTTCAACAAATCATACCAATACTCTAAATAATCAATTTTAGTTTACTAATTTTAATAGATTGGTATGAACTTTTTGTTTTTGTTTTTTTGTTATAGTACTTAACTTGTTTGACATAATTAATTTTATTTTTCATAAATCGTTGCAGTGGACCCAATTAATCCAAAAAAATATATAAAACTTATATAACTAAAAAAATATATATTTTTTCAGGGTGCCCAAGCTCCTCCTCCTCTGCCACTGTTAGAGAGAGAGAGTCAAGAGTTAGAAGAAGAGGGTAAAATTCAATATGAATGATTTTGAGAGAGATATTGGTGGTCATTGGATGAATGAATTTTAAACCCTAAGATAGGCTTGTTGAAACCACCCTATTTTATAGTATGAATATTATAGATAAATCCACAAAATATGATAAAATTGACTTAAAAAAAATATTAATTATATACATGTAATCAAAATCGAGTTAAATTTAATGCAAACTAAAAATTAATTTATCAAAAAGCATATCGCCAAAAATTTTTCTATCAAAAAAAGATCTACAAATATCATTTATAAAATATTATTTTTTTAATTAGTACAAACTATTATAAAATTATTAATTTAAAAGAATATATTAGCGTTAGGTTATCTTAAGATTTAAAAAAAAATAGTTTTGAATTTTTTATTCAAGATATGTATAAGACATGTTAGTTTGAGATAATTAATTAAATAAATAAAATTAAAATTAATTATATTCAATATAAATGTGTTTAAGCAACGCCCTTATTTTTGTTTTATCTTAAATTGATGAGCTTTTTTAATCAAAATGTTATCATTGTGTCTTATACAAATTCAAAATATTACACTACACATAAGATATTAATGACAAATTTGACTCATTTAATTATTATGTCAGAGAAAATCCTGTATTCCAAGATTAGTCATAATCGTTGATCGATTAGAACGGAAAATATTAAAGAAAAAAATGTTAATTTCTTAACATTTAGATAAATGAATTTGAAACCGTAAAATATGTTCAAATATCAGCGTAATCGTTGACTTATTGGGGGGAATATTAAGGGAAAAAATTGTAATTTCTTGACTGTTGGATGAATAAATTTGGGACCATGGAATTAGCTTGTTGAAGCTACCCTGTTTTATATTATAAATTATTATGTCAGATAAAATCTTGTATTTCAAGATCAGTCGTAATCGTTGACCAGTTGGGAGGGAAAATATTAAGAAAAAAAATGTTAATTTCTTGACCGTTGGATGAATGAATTTGAGACCGTAAGATATGTTCCAAGATCAGTCGTAATCGTTAACTTATTGGGGGAAATATTAAGGAAAAAAATTATAATTTCTTGATTGTTGGATGAATGAATTTGAAACCGTAGGATCAGTTTGTTGAAATCGCCCTGTTTTATATTATAAATTATTATGTCAGAGAAAATCTTATATTCTAAAATTAGTTGTAATCGTTGACCGGTTGAGAGAGAAAATATTAAAGAAAAAAAATGTTAATTTCTTGACCGTTAGATGAATAAATTTAAGACCGTAAGATATGTCCCAAGATCAGTCGTAATCGTTGACTTATTGGGGGGAATATTAAGGAAAAAAATTGTAATTTTTTGACTGTTGGATGAATGAATTTGAGATAGTGGAATTAGCTTGTTGAAGCTGCCCTGTTTTATATTATAGATTATTATGTCATAAAAAATCCTGTATTCTAAAATCAGTTGTAATTGTTGACCGATTAAGAGGAAAAATATTAAGAAAAAAAATATTAATTTCTTGACTGTTGGATGAATGAATTTGAAACTGTAAAATATGTTCCAAGATCAGTCGTAATCGTTGACTTATTAGGGGGAATATTAAGAAAAAAAATTATAATTTCTTGCTGTTGGATGAATGAATTTAAAACCGTAGGATCAACTTGTTAAAACCACCATGTTTTATATTATAAATTATTATGTCGAAGAAAATCCTGATCAGTATTAATCGTTTACTGGTTGAGAGGGAAAATATTAAGAAAAAAAAATGTTAATTTCTTGATCGTTGAATAAATAAATTTGAGACTGTAAGATATATTCTAAAATCAGTCGTAATCGTTGACTTATTAGGGGGAAATATTAAGAATTTTTTTTTTAATTTCTTGACTATTGGATGAATTAATTTGAGACCGTAGGATCAATTTGTTGAAGTCGTCCTATTTTATATTATAGATGTATTGTTAAATTCAAATACTCGAGATTAACGGTTAATTTAATGCCCACCATTTCCGTTGTTGAAGCTTAAGGTCTCGAAATTCGTCCTCGGTCGGCCTCTCTCTTTAACAGTAGCTGACCCAAAAAAATCAACTTTAAATATTCATTTTACATTATACATTTTCTAGTGGGCTCTATACATAATACAGAAGCATACAAAACGAAAGTACATTAATTAAGCTGAGAAACAAGTAAAGACTAGATTTTCACTGAACCCAGCAGCAGAGATGTAGTCATTCTCAAGCTGCATAGAAGGTGGTCGTTTGGCAATTTTCTCCTCCGGCTCAATGCTCCTCCCAGATTCGGAGGCCTTATCGGGCCTTTTTCCGACGCCATTGCCAGCGGCTGCCTTTCTCTCCATCCTTCGTCGAGCTACATACTCTTCTAAAATATACACATCCATGTGTATATATACACACACACACTCAAAGCTCAATGCTCACAGAAAATTGATTAACTAAAATGTGGTGATGAAGGTTGGTGGTGGCTAAGTGTAGCTATTCTGCTAGTGAATGGTGGATGAAGCAATGGGATGAGTACTGTAATTTATAAGCGGAGGTACTGGGATATTCTATGGGCTTTGGCACCATGTTTTTGCATAAGCAAACCACAGTTTTCGTGCGTAATTGTGAGGATACCTAGGTGCAATTGTTTTACGAGATAATTTAACGTATGGAGAGAGAGTGAGAGAGAGAGGAGGACACGGGTATGCCGTTCACCAGAAGCGATCATTTTGAAACATGCTGTCTAATTTCTGGCACTTCTCTTTGCTTTACACATCTTCTCTCGTTTTTGGATATGGGGGCATTTGTAAATAGGCCGTTAATCAAATTAAGTTACTCGGTGCGAGTTTAATTCAGATTCGGCTCGTTTTTTAAACGAGTTAAATTTAAATAATTTTTTAGTTTCATTAATTAGACAAGTTCAACTTGTTTTTGTGCAAATATTTTGGCTCGGCTCAGGTTTTATTTGTTTTAAGCTCGTTCATGAATGAGCTGAAGTTAAACAATTTTTTAATCGAAAACATGTTTTTTAGTATCATTTATTTCTATCCATAGAGATAATTCAGATAAGTTCATCCAAAAACCAATAATTTTAGTTCAATTGTGTGTGTGCGTGAGAGAGAGACAGAGAATACCTCATGCTCAGACAAGTATGAAGCCAAAATAGAGTGACAAAAGTATTATGCTGAACTATATGTCAGTGTATGTCTGCTCCAAATACAAAAAAAGGTATTTGGTCGGTTGGATTAGTTACAGCAAAGACCATGACACTGCCGAATGATTTATACACAATTCAACAGCTTTTGAACATGGTATTGATTAATAACAGAAAACCCTAGGATTAGGGTCCAAAAGACCCGTAATTAATGGTGTGAAAGTCATAATCAGAGAAGGAGGAAACTTTGAGTTAGTAAGCATGGTCACGTGGTTGCNGTCCAAAAGACCCGTAATTAATGGTGTGAAAGTCATAATCAGAGAAGGAGGAAACTGAGTTAGTAAGCATGGTCACGTGGTTACATGTGACTGTATGAGTGTGTGTTTCATCAGGGTCTTAGAACATAGTGTAGTGCTTAACCATGTTCCCTTTTAGCCCATTGGAATGGTATTTCTGCTTGACTTTGTTTCAAATAGTTGGTGGGGTGCCTATTCATGAAGTAGAGAGATGTTCACACCTGAGACTGAGAGGGTGAAAGCCCCAGATGGATGGATACAGGGTCTAACTTCTCTCCAAAAGAGTGTAGACATATATGTATCCCTTGGCTATCACGTTTGAGTGTTTGCTCATCGATTATGTCTATGAGGGAAATTTTTGCTCATTACGGTCACTTTAAGTGTTCCTCTCACCTGGATTGTACCAAGACCCTTGTACCCTAATCCTTGATTAGGAAAAATTGTCCAAAAATTATAAAATTTTAACTAAACAGGTTTGTCACCTTAAATAAAATTATGTTGTTTGACACAAATTTAATTTAGTTATTATCCGTAAAACACGGTTTAAAAAAATATCACCCTACTCAAATGCCAAATTATAAGCTATGTATTGATAGGTTTCATATATGTTAATTTCATTTACATAAAAGTGGGGGTTGGATTTGGAATGGTTTGAGAAAATCAATCCAATCTGTTACTCTAAAATCACCCAAACATGCCCTTAGACCATCTCCAATTAAAACTCAAATTCTTATCCAAATTTGAGTAAAAAAAATATAAAAAAAATTATTTTGGTATAAACATTTCCAATGAAAAAACTCAAATTTAAAGAAAGAGAAATTCAAATTTAAATGATGACAAGTATAAATTTAATAGAGAATAAAATATGACCATGAAATCTTTAAAGGATGGTAAAATCTCATTATTAAAGATTGGAGTAAAAAAAATGAATTTCAATTAATTTGATATGGGTATGAGTTTACAATTGGAGAAAATTTTTAAAATTTTTTTATCTAAATTTAAATTTGAGTTTAAAAAAAGATAAAGGTTAAATATGCTCTTAGAGTATCTACAACCACACTATCTAAAATAATTATTCAAAATATATTTAAATATTAAATCTCTATTTTAACTACCTACTTTTTAAAATTCACTATAACCACGCTATCTATTTTAACTAACTATTTTAATTAATTTTCAATAATATAATTCAAAAATGCCACATAGTCCCAACAATCTGAGTTTTGCTGAAAAAACCACAATCAAGTCCCAAACAGAGCAATGAGCAAGATTACTTGAAGAAAAGATTCATTAATAAGGGAGATATAATAGATATTACTAATAAAAAATATATCTACACTTTCACGGAACAATCACAAAGAACAACTCAGTTTGAAGTAGGATATAAAATACCCAAACCTAAAATGCGACAAACCTATGAAGAAAAAAATCAAGCTATGAAAATAAAGCAACCAAATAAACTATCAAGGGCATTCAAAGGACGACAAAGCAATAGGAATAATTTCAAAATAGAAAACATTCCAAAATTGTCAACCCATATGTATGGTATGATCCCAAATAAACATACCAATAAATTTCATTAAATTAGAAATTTGGACAGTTTTGCTGGATTTTTTGGTTATTTTGCTGAGTTTTTTGAAGGATGTTACTGGATTTTTTTTTTTTTTTTTTGGGGGGGGGGGGGTTGTAGGACTTTTTGGAGGGTTTTATTACCTTAGTTTTTGATCTTGTCAACCCAATTCAATAATCCCAAATTGTTGTGAGAGGGAGCCTACCAGATGATAGAGTTTCTGTGATGAAGATGATGCTATGGACTGAGCTTGGCGATGAGGAGTGAGCCTTCTGTTGAGACGATGCCTTATGTTGAGACAGTGTTTTATGTTGAGATAGTGTCTTATGTTGAGGAATAGCTAACCATAATCGATCGCTAGATCCAGCGAGGCAAATATTGGTGAATAGATAGTACCGAATGAGTTAGATAGTTCGTTGGAGTAAAAATTTATAGATTGACTATTTAAAATAGCTAACAAGCCTCCTTTAGCTATATTGTTGGAGTTGCTTTTAGTGTATGGTTTGTTTGGATAGAAACCTAGTCATGGCACTTTTCTTTGGTGGGGATTTGGGGGTATGATTTGTTAGGGATGACAATTTAACTTTTATCTTATTTTAACTATTGTCAAAATTGAATTTTGACTTACAACTTCTATGTCAAAGCATTTCTAATTTAATTAAAAAATGTAACTTATTCTAAAATGCAAAGATACTCGAGGTTCTCAAGTAATACATTACTCTCTCTCTCTCAACTAAACTAACTACTCAAGGTTTAGATACTCAACCAGTTAAACGTATTTGTCGAGCAAAGTTAAAATAATTAGTGTCTAAAACTTACTTAACAAGTTTATCATTCGAGTTGATGCATAGCTGTAATCTTCAAGTTCATCTTGATGATACAGTCAGCTGGAACATATAGCTGCCAAAATAATAGGATTTAGAGCCGAATTCTGCGTTATAAAAAGTCCAAATCAATGTTGATTCAACCTAAAAAAAGGCCAATCAACATTGCATTTAATCATGGAAAAAAATCTAAATTATAATTTTTTTTATATTAGAAAACAAAATTTTATTTTATAGAGAAGTGAATAACGTACATAAATGACAGATAAGAAATCCACCAAGAAATGAAGTAAAAAACGCACATTTCATTTTTTTAATGAAATTATTACTACGATCGACTATGTCAAAAAAAAAAAAAATAAGTAGATTAGTCATACTATCAACTAAAATTTTTTTTTGGCAAAATTTGAATATAAAAGGAGAGACGAATAAGTTTTGATTAAAATGGTAAATGACATCGTTTAGAGTTGCCGCTTTGGGCATTCAATTATCTTCATGCAAGAATTTCCTCCCCTCTCTCTCCCTCTCCACCGATATATATATTTTTGGTTGGGAGATTCTAAGCATNTAATAGGATTTAGAGCGGAATTCTATGTTTTACAAAAGTTTAAGTCTAACAAAATAACGCCATAAAAAGTCCAAATCAATGTTGATTCAACCTAAAAGGCCAATCAACATTGCATTTAATCATGGACAAATTATCTAAATTATTATTTTTTTTATATAAGAAAACAAAATTTTATTTCATAGAGAAGTGAATAACGTACATAAATGACAGATAAGAAATCCACCAAGAAATTAAGTAAAAAACGCACATTTCATTTTTTTAAAGAAATTATTACTATGATCGACTATGTCAACAAAAAAAACTAAGTAGATTAGTCCTACTATGAACTAAAATTTTTTTTTGGCAAAATTTGAATATAAAAGGAGAGACGAATAAGTTTTGAGTAAAATGGTAAATGACATCGTTTAGAGTTGTCGCTTTGGGCATTCAATCATCTTCATGCAAGAATTTCCTCCCCTCTCTCTCCCTCTCCACCGTAACAAGTATCCCATGACACGACATTCTTTGTATAATTACAATTTGATCCCCTTTAGTTTTTTGTATTTATATTCATAACTTTTATTTTTCCACCACAACTTAAATTAACTTAGACACTTTACCATCTAATAATCCAACATGACAACTATTAATAAAAACCATACTTTACTTCCCACAAATCTAGTATTTATAGTTTAACTCATAACTAATATTAGCGTACTATACTTAAACCCCCAACCTTAGATAAAAAGAGTAATATACTTGTTCGGGTCTCACAAGGGGTGTTCAGATAATAAACTTAAATTGTATTAGTTTTTTCTGATATGCACGTGTTAGTAACCACTGGGGTAAATTAACTAATATGATTAATTACGGGCCTCTCTTAAGATTTGACAAAAATTCGTGTCGTTAATAGAGTTTAGAATTTAAAAAAAATAAAATATTAGAAATAGTACTTGATTGTACAACGGTCACTTAAAGTCGGTGGACCATAATTAAGAAAGTTAAAGGCTGACTTAATTCACTAACGCTCCTCAGTCTCTCACTCNAGGATTAACATACCCAAGACATGTTATGTTGGTTATGATTTGGATATTGGAGTTCTTAATCTGTATTTATTTGTTTATCAAGAATTGCCATGCTTAACAATCACTTTCTTCCATGTAGTTTGTTCATTTGTTTTCCCTTGTAGATATAGTGGTTTATTTTCTTAATTTTCCTTGTCAGGTAATTTCATTCACTATTTTTGATTATTCTATTTGCAGGAATTTTTTTCTTTATCTGCTAACTACTTTTTATTTTTTTATTTTCTCGGTTGGGGGGTGGAGGTGGAGGTCGGGGTGGGGGGTTTGGGGTGCTGTTAGAACATGTCTACACTTTTCTGGTTGGTATAATAATTTTGGAATCACTTTCTTTTGTAGGTTCCTCCTATCTGTGATGGAAACTCAGGTGTGTCTCCTTCTAGCTCGCCAAGAAAGGAAGTTGCTCAAAGGTATTAGTTTCCTGAGGTTCTCTTAAAGAAATTTTCTTTACCGAATTTCTTTACTGAATGTAGTTCAGTTGTCACTCCCATGTTTTCTTTGAATGTATTTGTTTAATTATCCTGCTTTTATTTTGTTGTTCAGTCCACCCTTACTATGATTTTTCATAATTTTATATGATTACTGAAACCTGTACGTCTTGATTCTTTGCTTTTCTTTTTCATTTTTGTGTTTGTTTATTTCATGTAATGCTTCATCATTTTATTACCTTTTCATGTCCACAGATAATGAAGCCTCCATGGAAAATGTAACATCATGAGAAAGATGGACTACTATTACGAGGTTCATGTCACGTTTTTTTCCCCTATTCATTTGGTACACCGGTAATATTATAATGTTTCCGTTGCATTTATTTGAGATTCTGAAACACCATTCAGCTTTACTACTGCATTTATTTGTTGGTGGTAGAATATGCACATATGATCCTCAAAACGGTGAACAAAGCCATCTGGGATGGCGTTGCATTTTTTTGAGATTCTGAAACACCATTCAGCTTTCCCTTTGCTTGCTTTTGCCTATTGTGTTAGTTTCAGAGAGTGAAACTCTCAAGTTTCAAATTCTTAAGGCATTGGAAAAGAAGACAACAGTGTTGTGTCCTTTTATCTTCCTCTTATCTTATCTTTTCTTTTGATAGTAATTATTATGCTTCCAACTTGTCTGATCCCCATGACCTCAATTGTTAGATGCTTAACCGATTTTATATCTTGTGCAAAAAGGTATGGTTGGATGACCATGTTGCTGATTCATTTTTTGTTTTGAAAAGTAAATAGAGTTTTCATTCTTGAGTAATAGTTGTAAAACGTATAAGTAGGTGGAAGCCAAAGAGGAGACTATGGCTCCTAATGCGATTATGGGAGGCTATTGGGAAAATTGGATGATAATGAAAAAACTTACCAGTTCAAAATCACCAAATGCAGACTCTTTACTCATCTCTCTCTCTCACTCTTCCCTCCTCAAGTGAGATATTTTTTTGTAAAGGAAGCCACAAACAGTTATCCTTACTAAAAACAAACAAAAAAAAAAAAAAGGGAGGGAAAACGATAAATAAGGTACAGGAAGGAACTCAAAACATAACAGATATGGTTAGTGGTGTTCAGTTTTGAGTTCATATAACTTCATAAGCTGTTGGTTATTACTGTTTTTAGCAAAGCTTTACACTCACCTTTATGAATATCTATAGATTAGGTTATCCGGAGAAAGAGAACTTTCACAGACTTGTAATTAACAACATGCTGTTTTATGTAATTGATTATNTAAATAAGGTACAGGAAGGAACTCAAAACATAACAGATATGGTTACTGGTGTTCAGTTTTGAGTTCATATAACTTCATAAGCTGTTGGTTATTACTGTTTTTAGCAAAGCTTTACACTCACCTTTATGAATATCTATAGATTAGGTTATCCGGAGAAAGAGAACTTTCACAGACTTGTAATTAACAGCATGCTGTTTTATGTAGGACCATGCATGGAATTACTTTTTCAACAGATGACAAGCCAAAGCTCCTCAGTCAGGTGGTTAATGTGCTTGTTTATTCTATTATACAACTCGCATCTTCATGTTTTTATTAATTGTGTATTGCTTGGATGAATGCTTAAAGTACATAATCGTGATATGCCGCCCTTTCTCCGATTAGCATATGTAATACCTAACACAGTGCAAACATCTGAGACTCAATGTGTAATTTGAAATCAAGAAGGCATATGGTCTCTATCCTGCCTACTTTTCTCAATGATGGTTACTTAGAGAAGGGGAAATTGTGTGCTCACAAGATTCAATATATTAAATATATTGGTCTAGAGGCAGAAAAATGCCTTCTGTTTTTTGATGACCTTCTGCGTTTCATNTCAATATATTAAATATATTGGTCTAGAGGCAGAAAAATGCCTTCTGTTTTTTGATGGCCTTCTGCTTTTCATTNTTTCCGTTGCATTTATTTGAGATTCTGAAACACCATTCAGCTTTACTACTGCATTTATTTGTTGGTGGTAGAATATGCACATATGATCCTCAAAACGGTGAACAAAGCCATCTGGGATGGCGTTGCATTTTTTTGAGATTCTGAAACACCGTTCAGCTTTCCCTTTGCTTGCTTTTGCCTATTGTGTTAGTTTCAGAGAGTGAAACTCTCAAGTATCAAATTCTTAAGGCATTGGAAAAGAAGACAACAGTGTTGTGTCCTTTTATCTTCCTTTAATCTTATCTTTTCTTTTGATAGTAATTATTATGCTTCCAACTTGTCTGATCCCCATGACCTCAATTGTTAGATGCTTAACTGATTTTATATCTTGTGCAAAAAGGTATGGTTGGATGACCATGTTGCTGATTCATTTTTTGTTTTGAAAAGTAAATAGAGTTTTCATTCTTGAGTAATAGTTGTAAAACGTATAAGTAGGTGGAAGCCAAAGAGGAGACTATGGCTCCTAATGCGATTATGGGAGGCTATTGGGAAAATTGGATGATAATGAAAAAACTTACCAGTTCAAAATCACCAAATGCAGACTCTTTACTCATCTCTCTCTCTCACTCTTCCCTCCTCAAGTGAGATATTTTTTTGTAAAGGAAGCCACAAACAGTTATCCTTACTAAAAACAAACAAAAAAAAAAAAAAGGGAGGGAAAACGATAAATAAGGTACAGGAAGGAACTCAAAACATAACAGATATGGTTACTGGTGTTCAGTTTTGAGTTCATATAACTTCATAAGCTGTTGGTTATTACTGTTTTTAGCAAAGCTTTACACTCACCTTTATGAATATCTATAGATTAGGTTATCCGGAGAAAGAGAACTTTCACAGACTTGTAATTAACAGCATGCTGTTTTATGTAGGACCATGCATGGAATTACTTTTTCAACAGATGACAAGCCAAAGCTCCTCAGTCAGGTGGTTAATGTGCTTGTTTATTCTATTATACAACTCGCATCTTCATGTTTTTATTAATTGTGTATTGCTTGGATGAATGCTTAAAGTACATAATCGTGATATGCCGCCCTTTCTCCGATTAGCATATGTAATACCTAACACAGTGCAAACATCTGAGACTCAATGTGTAATTTGAAATCAAGAAGGCATATGGTCTCTATCCTGCCTACTTTTCTCAATGATGGTTACTTAGAGAAGGGGAAATTGTGTGCTCACAAGATTCAATATATTAAATATATTGGTCTAGAGGCAGAAAAATGCCTTCTGTTTTTTGATGACCTTCTGCGTTTCATCATAAGAAAGCCCTTTTACATTCTCTGAAGTAGATAGTTAGATGTTAGCTCTAGAGTTCCACTATTGTTGCAGAGCAAGGCATGACTCGAGAAACGTACAATAATGTATTATAATTTTAACTAGCACATTTTTAGCCTTACATTGTTTTAGAAAATTCTATGACTTTGTGTTGGGGTTAGTGACATTTTTGGTTTAACCACTTCGCATGAAAGATGCTATTGGAGATCTCAAGAAATGAGAACTTGGGTTCTTGATAAGTTTTGTTTACTTCGTGAAACTTTAATTCTATCTGACATACACAATAATCCATCTGAGATTCGCAAAATGTGCTTTTTGGGGTGTGGAATGCGTNCTATTGGAGATCTCAAGAAATGAGAACTTGGGTTCTTGATAAGTTTTGTTTACTTCTTGAAACTTTAATTCTATCTGACATACACAATAATCCATCTGAGATTCGCAAAACGTGCTTTTTGGGGTGTGGAATGCATTGAAGCCTCAAACATTCTGATGTGTGCATGTCTCTAGCCAGAGATAGAAATTTTCCTTTTTGGCAGGTGTGTCCCATTAGTGAGCAAAGTGGGAAATGTGTCATCCTTGAGCCTTAAATATGTGTATACTTTGGTTTTCTCTCCTTCTATCTGATGGGGAGCAAAAGGGAGAGCCAAAGGCCATGTCAAGAAAATAGTGTGACTAAGGACATGTAGTTCTTGGCTACCTGGTGAAAGTCTCAAATTTAACAAGGATCTCTTTCACGTAGAAGTATGATGTCTCTACCCCATGCTATTAGGTTGAGTGGAAAACTTTTCTGACCATTTGGAAATGTAGATCTAAAAATAAATAAGCCTGCCCTACCCCTCTTTCCCCCTCTGTTCTGTGAGATATTTTTATTCTTTTCAACCACCCCTCTTCCCCAACCCCCGGGGGGGAGTAGGTGTGGATGTGGGGTTGTGTGTATTTCCACATGCTTGCATTGCTAGTGGTTACTATACTACCAAAATTGCGGCCATATGAGGTATTCCCTTCTCACAATTTTTCATTTTTGTGTAGCTAGAATGTTATTTGCTTATGGCAAAAGACTAGGCTGTCTGGTGCATCCTTCGTTTTATTTCTGCTTTCTTTTTAGTGGTGTATGCATCAATAATATCTACCCAAAGCAGCTCAGATCTTTTTTTTTTTTTTTTTGCCATTCAATCAGTTAGTTGTTGCTATATTATTCGTCTACTTGTGGATTTCATCAGTAAAATTACGTACAGCTCATGTTCTTTCAAGATTATGGAAAGCAGTCATGTATTTGACTTTCTAACGCCCTTATGTTATTCAATATCTTTCTGGAAACCATACAAAATTTTGAGCTCTTTTTCATGATTTTTTTTTAAAATTGCAAGAACAGAAATAGAAACTATATTTGAGTAATGGCTAAGTTTTTTGTATGTGTTTTTTCACTTCTCATGGTGTATTTGACAACCTAGATTTTTGATTTACTTGCCATTAACTTTCAGGAAACTGAGCGACTCTAATTTGCATTGGCAAAGGATGTCTTGAGGATCGAGGTACCTCAACGTTTCATTAACTTGTTAGGACATCAGAATTTTGTGTGTGAGATTCTTAACACGTGTTAATGTTATGCTGAAGTAGAAAATCATCTTATTTTCAATTTTGAAATTGACCATTGCTGGTACTTAAGAGTTTTTTATTTTTTTATCAGGGTAGATTCTTGATAAAAAAAAAAAAAAATCAGGGTAGTTTTTTTTTTTTTTTTTGGTTATTCTTGGTAATATTACTTTCCTAGAACTCAGAAACTCCTATTGTTAATTAAGGGCCCAGTCATTGGATACACTTTATATTATTGCTCAGTTGGCAGAGATGATATTTTGCAGTCTAGAACTGTAGTTTGGATAATCCATTGATTTTTGGTCTTGGTTATGGTTTTTTGTATCCCTGTGATTTATATGTAGTTCTTGAGGTACAAAAATTGCTTCTAATCAACCTAATTTAAATTTTTAGTAGTTACTTCATGTATTGTTTGTGAATTGCGTCCTGTGTCCCTAATTGGTTATGTTATTCTTGGATGGAGTTAATAAAGCTTTTTAGGAATTTTGGTGGGAATTCTTAATCTTGTCTTACCCAGATGCGAATATTTTTTGGTCTCATATCACCTATTTGATGCTGCATACAGGTTGAAAAAAATCATTTTTGTTAGATCAAATTATAAAATGGCTTCAGTGGTGTTTTAGTCTCTTATAGTGTTTTGCAACTAAATCATTGTGCCCGGGTCTCTGAGAAAATTTGTGCAACTGAATCATTATGGCATCTAATTGTGCTTTTTGCACTATCATTCTGATTGGTTATTCTATACTTGGTTCAGAATATAGTAAAAGCGGAATATATATTCAGGCGATCAACTAACATTTGTTTTATTCTGCTTGATCATTGTAATTAGAGCTTTCCAATTCTTTGTTTGACACATATGCATGCAATTTCTTGGAATTATGGTCTTATGAACTTTTTGTGTGATGACATAAGCAACTTCTGAAGTTTAAAGTGTATTCTTCAAGCCCGAAGTGAAGTCAATACTTAAAACCATGTAGAATTTGCAGACAGTTATAGAAAGTGTTAATGTGCTCTAGAGTCTAGACGTATGTTTTAGTTCCCAGTATGGATCATATACGATGTAATTCATTATGTCAAGTTTCCTTCACTTAGGTTATCTATCTTTTTTTTTTTTGCCACCCACCCAGTGGGTGTGGGTCATCATGTTGTCTGTTGAATGTGTTTTTCTTTTTATGCCAATTTACCATAAAGAAAAGTGAAGCATTGATTTGAACTAGGACGCCTTGTGTTGCTTTGTAGAAGCAATCTTGGCCAAATCAACTATCATTATCTTCTCTACGTGAGCATGAGCAGTCACTGATAAAAAGCGAACCTTATCATTTGACAATTCCTGGTGATGGCACTGATGTATGGTAAATTGATCCTTGATTTCTGAAATTTGAGAGCAAAATTGCATCTGGGTCATATAGGGACTTGTAAGTTTATCAGATTCTAGGCACATTTTCTTTTGGTATTAGATCCCACTTAAGCCTGGCTTTGTGATGGCATTAGATCCAACTCAAGCCAGTAGTTGGGGGTGTTTTGCGTTCAACTAACTGTATCTTTCGATTGATTCAGTACAGGGGTACATTCCGTACTCAAGAAGTAGCCATCAAAGTCCTCAAGGCTGTGTGTGTAAGTTCAGATGTGCAAAGAGAGTTTGCACAAGAAGTATATATTATGAGGTTAGTGAAAGTTTTCTCTGTTGCTGTGAGCTGCACTAGTTGGCCTTCTTTGGATCTATCTTTGATTTCCTATTTTTGCATTAAATTAACCTAGGGATTCCCTTAAAATAAAATATATCAATTGTTCTAGGTAATGCTGATGCCCAGAATGGTTTCTTCTCAATCCTGTTTTTATGTTGGGGATAATATTATGATGTGGGGTATTCAAGAGGCAGCCTATGATATGTTGGTCAGAATGTTGTTTTGGTGGTTATATGTGCAAGCTATAATATAGAACATGATGTTGATAATTGCGTTATAGGTTTATGGCCAAGCATTTATGTTTTTATTATAAATTTATATGTTGTGTGTGTAGAAGTAAAAGTATATTCCGAGACCAATATAATAGTACCAGGCCAATAATTTGATAGTATTGTGGGTTCTCAAATGGAGGGCAGTGATATGGAAGGACATTGTTTTCTACCCAATTCAATATTTTAAGTAACTAAATGTGCCAACTATTGGCATTGAATTGGCTTTGCATGAATTCCGAGGGATAGAGAGAGAATCACTTTGTAATTTCCATTCCAAACTGTTATTCCATCTGTATTGTTTCTCACCTTCCTATCTCTCTGTCTAATTCTTTTTTTTTTNCTTGTCTTACCCAGATGCGAATTTTTTTTGGTCTCATATCACCTATTTGATGCTGCATACAGGTTGAAAAAATCATTTTTGTTAGATCAAATTATAAAATGGCTTCAGTGGTGTTTTAGTCTCTTATAGTGTTTGCAACTAAATCATTGTGCCCGGGTCTCTGAGAAAATTTGTGCAACTGAATCATTATGGCATCTAATTGTGCTTTTTGCACTATCATTCTGATTGGTTATTCTATACTTGGTTCAGAATATAGTAAAAGCGGAATATATATTCAGGCGATCAACTAACATTTGTTTTATTCTGCTTGATCATTGTAATTAGAGCTTTCCAATTCTTTGTTTGACACATATGCATGCAATTTCTTGGAATTATGGTCTTATGAACTTTTTGTGTGATGACATAAGCAACTTCTGAAGTTTAAAGTGTATTCTTCAAGCCCGAAGTGAAGTCAATACTTAAAACCATGTAGAATTTGCAGACAGTTATAGAAAGTGTTAATGTGCTCTAGAGTCTAGACGTATGTTTTAGTTCCCAGTATGGATCATATACGATGTAATTCATTATGTCAAGTTTCCTTCACTTAGGTTATCTATCTTTTTTTTTTTTGCCACCCACCCAGTGGGTGTGGGTCATCATGTTGTCTGTTGAATGTGTTTTTCTTTTTATGCCAATTTACCATAAAGAAAAGTGAAGCATTGATTTGAACTAGGACGCCTTGTGTTGCTTTGTAGAAGCAATCTTGGCCAAATCAACTATCATTATCTTCTCTACGTGAGCATGAGCAGTCACTGATAAAAAGCGAACCTTATCATTTGACAATTCCTGGTGATGGCACTGATGTATGGTAAATTGATCCTTGATTTCTGAAATTTGAGAGCAAAATTGCATCTGGGTCATATGGGGACTTGTAAGTTTATCAGATTCTAGGCACATTTTCTTTTGGTATTAGATCCCACTTAAGCCTGGCTTTGTGATGGCATTAGATCCAACTCAAGCCAGTAGTTGGGGGTGTTTTGCGTTCAACTAACTGTATCTTTCGATTGATTCAGGTACAGGGGTACATTCCGTACTCAAGAAGTAGCCATCAAAGTCCTCAAGGCTGTGTGTGTAAGTTCAGATGTGCAAAGAGAGTTTGCACAAGAGGTATATATTATGAGGTTAGTGAAAGTTTTCTCTGTTGCTGTGAGCTGCACTAGTTGGCCTTCTTAGGATCTATCTTTGATTTCCTATTTTTGCATTAAATTAACCTAGGGATTCCCTTAAAATAAAATATATCAATTGTTCTAGGTAATGCTGATGCCCAGAATGGTTTCTTCTCAATCCTGTTTTTATGTTGGGGATAATATTATGATGTGGGGTATTCAAGAGGCAGCCTATGATATGTTGGTCAGAATGTTGTTTTGGTGGTTATATGTGCATGCTATAATATAGAACATGATGTTGATAATTGCGTTATAGGTTTATGGCCAAGCATTTATGTTTTTATTATAAATTTATATGTTGTGTGTGTAGAAGTAAAAGTATATTCCGAGACCAATATAATAGTACCAGGCCAATAATTTGATAGTATTGTGGGTTCTCAAATAGAGGGCAGTGATATGGAAGGACATTGTTTTCTACCCAATTCAATATTTTAAGTAACTAAATGTGCCAACTATTGGCAGTGAATTGGCTTTGCATGAATTCCGAGGGATAGAGAGAGAATCACTTTGTAATTTCCATTCCAAACTGTTATTCCATCTGTATTGTTTCTCACCTTCCTATCTCTCTGTCTAATTCTTTTTTTTTCGGGCCGGGGGGGGGTTTGGTGGTTATTGACATCAGTGTGCACAGATACATGCATACAGTGGGTCCAGGTCTACCACCTGATCAAGAAGACGTGCGGAGATCTTGTCACCTGTACTTGGCAGGACTTTTAATTCTCTCTCTTTCTAGAAAAGAATTAATGTAGTTCCTATTTCTCTGGTTTTCCCTACGATAGAGTTATTTTATAGTTCCAGTTTCTCTGGTTTTCTGTGATAAGAGTTAGAAAATTCTAAGAATTTGTGTTGGGGTTAGTGACTTTTTTGGTTTAACCAGTTCGCAAGAAAGATGCTATTGGAGATCTCAAGAAATGAGAACTTGGGTTCTTGAAAAGTTTTGTTTACTTCGTGAAACTTTAATTCTATCTAACATACACAATAATTTATCTGAGATTCGCAAAATGTGCTTTTTGGTGTGTGGAATGTGTTGAAGCCTCAAACATTATGATGTGTGCATGTCTCTAGCCAGTGACAGAAATTTTCCTTTTTGTCAGTTGTGTCCCATCTGTAAACAAAGTGGAAAAAGTGTCAACCTCGAGCCTTAAATATGTGCTACTTGGTCTTGTCTCTTTCTCTCCGATGGGGAGCAAAAGGGAGAGCCAAATGTCATGTCAAGAAAATAGTGTGACTAAGGACATATAATTCTTGGCTACCTATTAAAAGTCTCAAATTTAACAAGGATCTGTTTCTCGTAGAAGTATGATGTCTCTACACCATGCTATTAGGTTGAGTGGAAAATTTTCGTGACCTTTTGGAAATGTAGATCTAAAACTAAATAAGCCTGCCCTACCCCTCTTTCTTGCTCTGTTCTGTGAGATATTTTTCTTCTCTTCAACCACCCCACTCCCCCACCCCCCGGGGGAAGTAGGTGGGGATGTGGGGTTTGTGTATGTTTCCACATGCTTGCATTGCTAGTGGTTGCTATACTACCAAAATTGCTGAATGAGGATTTAATGAACTTATTGTTGTGCAAAATTTGTAGTTGACTTCCTTACTAGCTAACGTTGGGCTGAACATCCAGTTTCAACATGATGACTTTTCCTTAGATGTTTTTGTTGTTGATGGCTGGCCATATGAGGTATTCCCTTCTTACAATTTTTCATTTTTATGTAGCTAGAATGTTATTTGCTTATGGCAAAAGACTAGGCTGTCTGGTGCGTACTTCGTTTTATTTCTGCTTTCTTTTTAGTGGTGTATGCATCAATAATATCTACCCAAAGCAGCTCAGATCCCTTTTTTTTTTGCAATTCAATCGGTTTGCATCAATAATATCTACCCTAAATGGTTTGCTCAGTGTTATGCTTGGTCCATAATTGTTTCATGATGTTTTCTATTTTTGTGTCTTTCACCCTCACTCAACACGTAATTAGCTCATTTCCCCCACAAATGTTCCTTTTAGATGCTCGAGATTGAAAAAGATCTAGTATGGTTTGGCTTGAAAGAGAAAGAGTTACAGAGTGAGGAAAAAGTGTAAAAAGTGTAAAAAGTGTAAAAAGAGTTTATGTGCATCATGTATGAGTGTTTCTAAAACGTTGGTTGTATATGAGCATTTTGCAAGGTGCCAATTATATGAAATATAGTTTTTTCCTTTATAGATATTACTTATAATTATTGTATGATATGGATAAGGATGGTAAAATTGTATTCATGCTCCGGTGTGGGTTATCATAGCTTGGGTTTATGATTCTATAGACAAGTAAATGGTGACATGAGCATTGTAAAGTATACTAGGTAGTTGTGCGTTAGAGCTGTAAAGTTGTTAGTACTTAGTCACAAGTGACGAGTCTAGGTTGGGTACTCATAGCTGATTTCAAGATAGACATGGCAAAGTGGCTTAATGGTTCTAATGTGGGCGCACAATAGAAGTGGATAAAGAAAAGAGTTATAGAATGTTGTGAAAGATAAAGGGAAACAATGATATTTCTATTGGTTATTTGGATATGTTGGTTTTTTCCATATGGCTTTCCTAATGGAGGCTATGATTTTCTAATAAATGGGATACTCTTGCTTCATATTGTTATATTGTGGTTTTTTTATCCGTAATATGGTGACACACGGTTTTCTAGTATTTTGACATCTCGGTATTCTAGATGGTTACTTTTTGCGGCAGTAGAAGTGGACAAAAAATCAGTTATGGAATGTTGTGAAAGATAGCGGAAAACATCAGTATTTCTATGGGTTATTTGGATATGTTTGTTTTTTCTATCACATTACAAAAAGACATACCCAAAAATATCTCTCTCGCATTGATTCGGGCCTTACAAATCTCATATATGATACAATGAGCTGTATTGGGATAAACCGAAGGAGTTGGAGCAGTTTTATCGTGCAGAAAGAGTTTACTAATCCACTTGGAGCAGTCTCATCATGTAGAAAGAGATAGTTCATAATGCCCATGCCCAGGTCTCTTGATGAGGTGTCTGGTTTGTTATGGAATGAATATCACATTTTTGAATTGATATTACTGTGATCGACTTAGTTAATGATCTTAAAGTTTGAACTTAATAATACTGGGTACTGTTTGAGCTGAAATTTCTGTTTTCTAAGTCATTTTTGTCTGCATTTTTTGTGCTTGGGTTTGTTTACTAGTCGTCATTGAAGGTATATTACTCCTCTACTGTCACTTACTTTCTTATAGTTTTTTGTTTCTTAAATTTTGATGTCATTTTAGATATTCTCTGTTGATTGTAGTACATTAAGATAGTGAAGGAAATGCCAACCTGTTGAATTTTGGGAGGCTTACTAGGCCGTAATTTAAGGAGTTGTGAAGTTATCTTCCGGCGAGCTTGTCACAGGTGGACCTTATTTTGCAAAAAAGCTTTTTACTCACTTCTCTTCTCATTTTTGTGTTGATCCTTGAAGTTGTCAAGTACCCTCCCTTTGATCTCAATGATCAACTTAAGTTCTTTGCTTAAAATTTCTTATAGTTATCAAACTATGCTTTGGATATGGATGATTGATGTGAATTGTTGTCAATAGTAATGCAAGTTCCTGTGAAACAGCTTCAGAGTCTTGGAAAGGGAGGACATATGTCCATAAGTCGTAGGGTATACAGGTTCGTTTTCTTGCATGTCTATGTGACTATTTCTGTTGCATATATTTTAGTGAAGACCAAATTTTTTCATAACGACTCATATTCTGGCGTTCTATCATTTTGTCTTTGATGTCATATAACTTGTTGTATGGATATGATATGCTATCTGACTATCACCTTCATGAAGTGGATCTGTTGAAAAACACTGAAAAGGTTTAAATTAATAAGTGAGGTTCAAAACAATAAAATTGAAAAACCACCAATATCGAAGAGGGCAAGCCTATGTGTTGCAGAACACATCAACTCATATAGCTCTGTTACACAAATTGAGAGGGGGCCAGGCGGTGGCATATTGGGTATATTTTTATTTTACTGAGGAACAAGGATGTGGAGAAGTAATGAATGCAACATAATCATAACTTCACTTTATGGTGTTTTTCTTTTTTCATTGCGAGGTTGCTGCATCACGTCTCAAGTCAAAAGAAGGCTAAGAGGATTGTGAAAATCTTGAGTTGCCCAAGGAGTGCAACCACTGAAAATGGAGAATGCGAATAGGGCTGCTAAATATAGGATAAAAAACACTTGTTCTCAAAACATGTGCTAAGCATCACTTTGAGCTCTCAACTTCAATTGTTTCTTTTTTGTGCTTAAAAATTATATTTCTTTATGTAAGTGATCTAGTTGCTAACTTTCGTCTAATTAATTGGTTTTAAAGCTCAAATTTAAGTGTAAATTATTCTTGAAGTGTTGGCTAACAATGCAGGGTGGGATGAAATATTCAGAATGCAATGACGAGTTAGAAATTAGAATCTCTACTGCTGATGCGTTCCTCTTTATGAATGGGTTATGCTTTGATTTTTTGTTTTGTTTTTCATTTTTGTGTTTGTTTATTTCATTTAATACTTCATCATTATATTACCTTTCATGTATGCAGATAATGAAGCCTNTTTTCATTTTTGTGTTTGTTTATTTCATTTAATACTTCATCATTATATTACCTTTTCATGTGTGCAGATAATGAAGCCTCCATGGAAAGCGTAACATCATGAGAAAGATGGACTACCCTTACGAGGTTCATGTCAGGTTTTGTTTTACCTATTCATTTGATACACTGATAATATTATGATGTTTCAGTTGCATTTATTTGAGATTCTGAAACACCATTCAGCTTTACTATTGAATGCTTTGTCTTTATTTGATCAAGATCTTGCTTTAATCTTTTTTTCATCGATTTTTTTGTGTCAGTATTTCTTCATTAATTTGGTTTTGCTGTTTGTCTATTAAAAGTTCTTTCTGTTTTTATTCTTCCAATTTTTTTTCGTTGAAAGTAAATGTAATTAAATGGTAGAGCATTGTTATAGTGTCTAGATTTAAGTTGAGTATAATGGATTAAAATCTTTCTTTGTTGTTTGTACTTTCTTTTCAAATAATGGCAGTACAATGGATGATAGTACATGCTCTCTCTTTCTCTCTCTCTCTCTCTCTCTCACACACACACACACACACACACAAAACCCAGGTTTGGTACTGCTATTTAATAGATCGGCCTGATAATTGGACAAATTTTCGAGTTCGCTGATTGTGTTGGGGCATTTAATATTGTCCATTGAAGGTATGCATTGGATGTGAATGTGGAAAGGGCGGAAGATGTTCTCACCCATAAGTGTTTGTTGCATTTGGCTCAGGATCTTGCAAATAGACCTGCGTTTGAAGTCCGCCTAGGCCAGGTAAGTTGATTTGATAAGACTTCCATCTCAGCATTGCCAACTGCCAAGGAATGGATTCTGCATTTATTGCATATCTTGACGTCCCTCATGTCCACTTCTACACAGGATTAACATACCCAAGACATGTTATGTTGGTAATGATTTGGATATTGGAGTTCTTAATCTGTATTTATTTGTTTATCAAGAATTGCCATGCTTAACAGTCACTTTCTTCCATGCAGTTTGTTCATTTGTTTTCCCTTGTAGATATAGTGGTTTATTTTCTTAATTTTCCTTGTCAGGTAATTTCGTTCACTATTTTTGATTATTCTATTCGCAGGAATTTTTTTCTTTTTCTGCCGACTACTTTTTTATTTTTTTATTTTCTCGGTTGGGGGGTGGAGGTGGAGGTTGGGGTGGGGGGTTTGGGGTGCTGTTAGAACATGTCTACACTTTTCTGGTTGGTATAATAATTTTGGAATCACTTTCTTTTGTAGGTTCCTCCTATCTGTGATGGAAACTCAGGTGTGTCTCCTTCTAGCTCGCCAAGAAAGGAAGTTGCTCAAAGGTATTAGTTTCCTGAGGTTCTCTTAAAGAAATTTTCTTTACCGAATTTCTTTACTGAATGTAGTTCAGTTGTCACTCCCATGTTTTCTTTGAATGTAATTTGTTTAATTATCCTGCTTTTATTTTGTTGTTCAGTCCACCCTTACTATGATTTTTCATAATTTTATATGATTACTGAAACCTGTACGTCTTGATTCTTTGCTTTTCTTTTTCATTTTTGTGTTTGTTTATTTCATGCAATGCTTCATCATTATATTACCTTTTCATATCCGCAGATAACGAAGCCTCCATGGAAAACGTAACATCATGGGGAAGATGGACTACTAGTACGAGGTTCATGTTAGGTTTTTTTTCACTATTCATTTGGTACACTGGTAATATTATAATGTTTCAGTTGCATTTATTTGAGATTCTGAAACACCATTCAGCTTTACTACTGCATTTATTTGTTGGTGGTAGAATATGCACATATGATCCTCAAAACGGTGAACGAAGCCATCTGGGATGGTGTTGTGCCTCTATTGTGTGCTTAACTGTAAAATTTGTCATTTTCCGTTGGATTCTTATCTTTATTTTTCTTATGTATAGCATATGACATTTAGCAGTTTGGGTTAATCTGGAGTTGAAGACAAGGGGACATTGTGAGCATGCATTATGATCCCATGATTGCTTTGTACTGCACCATTAAAAGATAGGAGGGATTGCTTAACAAAGTTTTAGGTATAACGAATGAGACAATTTTTTGATTCATTGTTGGAGTGCCAAAATATTGGATTGTGTGCTTTGCATGATGGCATACTTGGCTCTCGTGCATGTGTGTTCCAAGACTTTTTGTCGTTTGATTGTATTGTGAGCTTTGCATTATTTTACATTTTTTGGATTTTAGATGAGCATATATGGATATTCATGAGCTGTTATAAAATCTTGGATATGTGCTATTCACATGGACGACTGTATTCTTTAGCAAAACTTGGGTATTCATAATATACCTTGATCTAACCTTCTCATGGGAGAAGACAATTGTTGATTCATTGTTAACTGAGAATTGCATATTGACTGTTATTGAGTACATGAGTTCTATTTCACATTAGTTTTCTTGAGTTTTGAAAATATAGCATTATGTTGATATATATATATAGATAATTAATTCATTGTATGTGTATAAATGAGTAGATGCTCATGCTTTTATGATCTTTGTTTTCTTCAATTTTAGGTTATTCATCAGAAAAAGTAGTACAACTAGAGAAGGCTGTTGGGCGCTAATTATCTAAATTGGTTGGAAGGATGTTTGAATTACAATATGATTTTTAAATATAATTTGTGTGGATGAATTGAACATGTTTCATGTGGATGTAATGCATAACATAATTGTTCAGATTTTACTGTGAGAAGGTAAAAGAGTTTTGAGAAAACTCAGCCTATCATTATGGGGAGATTAGAGTTGTAAATTATGATCTACAAGGGAATAAGTTGGTATAAGATATATATTTTTCAAATTTCACTTAACAAAAGATATAGCATAAAGCACGAACAAAGCATGACCCAGACATGGGACACAACATGATCCATGCACAAACATAGGCACGGCTTGGGCATAACACAAGCAAACGTACCTCAATCATGCAATGTTAAGATACACTAATACACAAACACAAGCATGTAATGTTTACACGCATATTGTTAACACACTCACATTGACACGTCATAGTACATATAAGCACATTTACACATACTCATACATAAAAAATATACATACTAATACACCGGAACACAATGTTAATACAAGCACTCATCAAAGCATTGGGTCTTGTGCCTTGTGATGTGAGACTTTGATTTGTGATCTATCCCATAGAATTTAATAAAGTCTAATTTTGAACATGATTAGTTTGTGTGTGTGTCTTGTGTAATAATGTGTTTGTGTTTCTTTGGTGTTTTTGTGTTGGTTTGTGTTCTTTGGTGTATTAGTGTCCGTGTGTTTGTGTGTGAATAGAGTGTGCGCATGTTTTTTTTTAATGTTTTTTTTTGTGCATGTGTTGGTGCATGTTTTTGTGTGTGCATTTGTGTTTGTATAATTGTGTGTTTTATTTTGTTTATTTTTTGGTGTATTTGTGAGTGTTAACACAGTGTGTCGGTGTGTATGTTAGGGTGTATTCGTGCGTTATTTGGTATATTAGTGTGTATTTTGTTATATATTAGTCTGTGTGGGCATTTGTGTTTGGGTAATAGTGTGTTTTGGTATGTTGGTGTCTATGTGTTTGCTGTATTAGTTGTGTGTTTGTATTTTAGTGTATTATTGTGTCTGTTTAGGTGTATTAATCTGTGAGTTTGTTTTTAGAGTATTAGTGTGTTTTGGATGATGTATTAGAAATGTGTTTTGGGATTGTGCATTAGTGTATGTGTTTGTGTGTCTGTTTTGGTGTGTTAGTGTTTGTATTTTTTGTTGTGTTATGTGTTTTTTGGTATATTTGTGTTTGTTTACAAAGTGTGTGTTGGTGTGCCTGTATTTTGGTATATTATTGTGCGTATTTTTTTCATGTATTTGTGTGTTGACAGTGTGTGCATGTGTTTGTGCGTGTTTGGTGAGGGTGTGTTAGTGCGTATGTGTGCACATGTGTGCATGTTGTGTGTTTCAATGATGGTGTGTTAGTGCATATGTGTCTGTTTTGGTGCGTTAGTGTTTGTATTTTTTGTTGTGTTATGTGTTTTTTGGTATGTTAGTGTTTGTTGGTGTGCATGTATTTTGGTATATTATTGTGTGTATTTTTTTCATGTATTTGTGTGTTAACAGTGTGTGCATGTGTTTGTGTGTGTTTGGTGAGGGTGTGTTAGTGCGTATGTGTTCACATGTGCACATGTTGTGTGTTTCAATGATGGTGTGTTGGTGCCTATGTGTGTGTGTGCACGTATGTATGTAGTAGTGTGTTTTTGTGTGTGCATGTGCTTTTGGTGTTTAAGTGTGCGATGTGCTTGCATATCTATTTTGGGCTTATTGTTTGCTAAAGACTTACTGTTTGCTAAAGATCTTGTGGAGTGGGGAACAAATCGTTTTAGTTTTTTTTTTTGGTTTTGGAAGAAGGAGGGGGTGGGGGGTTTGGAGAGGGANGACGTCCCTTCAACATCCATATAAAACCTTTTTTTCTCAATTCTGATTCCCATTGGAAGAGAGGAATTTGACTGAATAAATGACTAACGAATCCTACGACGACTTAAAAATCCCCCAAGGAGCAGAAAAATAAGGCACAGGGATTCAGCGAGCGAATTAGGTGGTTCTGCTGGCCCATTATCTTCAATAACTAACACATTTCCAGCATTTAAAGGGACTACTTCTTGAAACCTAATGACAACAAAAACAATAGTTGACAGTTTGACACAAGAACGTAGGGGGTCACTTATCTTTCTTCTTTGTTTCTGTTTATTGTTTTTCTTGTGATTCCTCTCTGGATTTCAAGGTATTGAATTTTTTATGCTCAATTTTTTTTTTTGCTGGGTATTTTAGATTAACCATATAGAAATTTATTAATAGAACCTTAACTTGATTTGTACGCATATAGCGGTAAAAGATTGGAAGTCTGGTGAATTCATTCATGGAACTTAACTAGTGAAGTACTGAGGGATCTCAATTTTTGTAGCTGTTTTTTATTTATTTTTTATTTTGGTCATTAAACTCTAGATAAAATCCCATAGAAATCATGATTATGATGCTAAAAATTGTTCAAATATAATCATCGAAATAGAATGTGTTTCCATACAAAATCACAGGCCATTGTAATTGGAAATCCAGACTGGCTCATTGAATAACTAGCGGTATTTAGCCTTTCGTTTCGTTTAAAAGATTGAATAGACAATGCCTCGGCTTATGTGGAATAAAATGCTAGCAAAAAAGGAAACTTCAGAAGGTGAAATATGTAGAAACAAATATGTTCGGAACAGATTTGCGTATGATGGAGATAAGAATCTGTATACATTGGGGCCTCTTCCAGAGAACAATTTTGAATTCATGGTGGTTCTTCAGGAATCTTTTGCAAAGCAGTATGTCCTTTCTTTATATTTTTCAAGTACTTACGTGTGTTGCATAATTTCCAAGACTTAAAGTATATTCTGCCTTGGTGGTAGTGGGAGTCCTCCTCACAATGGGAGCCCCAGTGAGTCTGGTAAAAGGTCAAAGCATTCTTTACAATAAAAAAATTTTAAAGTCGAGATCAGCTATGCTGCTAAAATACTTTTGTAGTCCATTTCTCTTTCCCTCCAAGGAGCTGATCCAGACAATGTTCAAGATGCACTAAAGGTGCTTGATGTTATATTAGGACAGCAAGCAACTATTTGGTACTTGGAAATTTCTCCTTTCAAGGTTTCTTTTGAGGTTTCTAGTTTCTTCAATGCTGCTTACTTACATATTATGTAATTTGGATATTGAATGCAGGGGTTCTCTTTTGGTAAGACGGTCATTCTTTCATGATGACTTAAGGAACTTCACTGATGTTGGAGGAGGTGTTCACTAGGTGTTGGGGGTTCCGTTCCAGCTTTCGTTCAACTCATGGTGGTTTGTCACTTAATATGGGTATAATCATCATTTTTTTTTCTCCATCTCACTGTGCCAATGTGATTTTGCTGTCACTTTCTGGCGATTAATGTAGCTTTGATTTCTTTGGGCAGATGTATCTACAACTATGATCTGACGCCTGGATCTGTTATTGATTTTCTGCTAGCTAACCAGAACGCTTGTGAACCTTGTTACATTGACTGGGCAAAGGTAAACTAACTGTTTAATTGCACAGTGGATCTCATTTTTGTTGTTATTTCATGTATATAGTTAAATATTGTGTCATGTACAGGCCAAAAGAATGCTAAAAAACATAAGAATTAAGACAAGACACAACAGGGAGTTCAAGATCATTGGTTTGAGTGACAAGCCTTGCAATCAGCTCTTGTAAGTGCTTTTTTATGCCATAAAATTTCTAATTTTCATTGTAAGTCGTCTGAATCATTTATTTGTTTTACTGTTGCCTTACAAGTTTCCCACTGAAAGTGAAAAACAGTGATGGTGCCTATGATGGAGGACAGACTACAGAGATTATGGAATACAAGTATTTTTCCAAACATCGGAATATTGAACTTATTCTGCATGTATGCATTGCCTTGATGCTGGTAAACCAAAACAGCCAAAATATCTGCCGCTGGAGGTGTGCATAATTCTCTCACTAGAATTTCTGGGTTGGCCCAATTTTCTTTATGTATAATACCTCAGTGTCCTTCTCTAGAACAGATGCTGATGTTGTTTTCTTTCCTATATTCCAGCTTTGTTCTCTTTTGTCTGTTCAACTTTATACAAAGGCATTATCTTCAGTGCATAGAACATCTTTAGTTGAAAAGTGTAGGCAAAAGCCTCGGGAGAGAATAAGAGTTGTAATTGATATAAATCTTCTTCCACGTAAATGCTTGCTCTTGTAGTTTGTAATATTGCATTTTACTGATCACTCAGTTTGGCAGGCTATGGGAAACTACCATGATGATGATCCCCTCCTTGCTGCTTGTGGCATGTAACAACTCACCCAAGTTGATGGTCGGGTCCTAGAGGCACCCAAAGTAGAGGTTGACTTTCTTTACGCGGTTTTGCAGTTTTCCTTACAATACAGGTATCACTACACTGAACAATAAGATAAGAATTGAGTGTGCTCTTAAAATCGAATTTTCTTTCAATCTGCAGTTGAAGGTTGGTAACAGTGAAGATTGCTTCCCACATAATGGACAATGGAATTTCAATAACAAGGTATTGCCCACACAATTTATAGTATAGAGTTGTTGCTGAATTTTTTTGCTCCAGGGAACTGCTTTTGGATTTCTATAATTCAAGCAGTGGACGCAAACCAGCTCATACCATTGTCTTCAGGTATCACCAATAGCTGCCTTTGGATTTCTTTCTTTTATAATCTCGACAATGTGTTGCATTCCAAAAGGTATTTACTTTTTTGAGGACTCAAGCTAGTGTTGGCATGCTCTAATGTAGTAGATGTTTTTTGAAATTTATGACCACCAGACCTTGGCAACTTAAAATGACCACAATTGATTTTGGTTATTTACCCAAAGAAAAGCTCTTGAGAAAATTGGTTGTTGTCAACAAAATTGTTGTTTTAGATATTGAGCAATACTAAGTATGTTGAGAAGTTAAATTGGAAAGATTGTCGGGGCTTGAACACTGTGACAGGCACCATGTGTTGCATTGCGATATCAAGAGGTCAAATCTTATTACTGATTTTGTTTTTGCAAGTTATTCCTTTACATCACTCGAAAACTAGATCATGTTTTAGAGTGGTGGTTTAAATTTGTGACATGTTAGATTGTTAAATTCATTATTTACTTTTGCACTTCTACTTGGTTGACGAGCATGCTAATTGGCAGAATGACAGTTTGGATTCCATATATGACCAAGAGATTTATGATATACGGGAAGTGCTGTGATTTGCTCATGATCTTAGGATCCTTTTGGAGCCAGCCCCATAATTTTTTTTCATAGAACATGAGAAGAAACTGATGTGGCGCTATTGAAGAAGGCACCAGAGAAGCCCTTATTGATCTTTTTCCTCTCTCAAAATTTTTCTTTAATTCCTTGCTAAGCTCCTTGAATACCTCCCAACCTTCCAACACATGAGAGAGGAGAGATTCCCCATCTGAATAATAGCCCCAATTTGGAGGATCATCTTTTGGGTCATGAAGACCGATATCATCCCTCGCCTTGACCTTATTAGAACACAAAGCTTTATGGGTGTTTCTCATAATCTCCTGAAACATTACTGTAGAAAAACTTTGTTCATTCAAATTACAAACGGGCAAAGGAGATGCAACTTTGCAATTATCTGGGAGAGAGTAATTATCCTGATGAGTTTTTGAGTTTCATCCTCCATTTGCAAACTTTTCTCTACTGCTCTTCTCTGCCTTCGCCTTTTGGCCCAAAGATCTCATCTTTTCCATACTCCTAGGCTCCACCAGAGTGAGGCTGTTACATACCCTCGATTTTTCCTTCAATTGCAAGTCATCAGATTCCCTACTCTCTTGATTTATCTGCAACCCCTCCTTTTGGCCATGATTATGGTTAACCTCCTGTTTATCCGTTGATATTATCACTTTTCTGGACTTTACTTGACTCGCCTTGAACTGTTTTCTGGTAGTACGTTTTCCTTTGTCCAGCCTCAGGTTTCAGTACAATCATATGGATCACCTCTTTCCCCTCCTTTTTATCCTCCCTTACAACAACCCCTCCATCATCCTAAGGAGAAAATTCTTTTTATACATTCTACCTCTTCATGACCTTGCTTTTAAAGCAATTCCTACAATACTTACACCTTTTCTTATATTGAATTTTTTGCCAGCCCCATTTATAACCCCTTTGATCCAGCCAAATCCTCTACGGATTATCTGTTAATAAATTAACTTCTACACATGCATGGTCAGCACTAAGCCTTGTTAAATTAAAGTGGCCTCATCTATAGCAAGAATCTTACCAATTGGGCTTAGAATAGAAGTAAGGCATTCTTTAGTAAACAGATTGAAAGGCAGCGCTTGTAAAGAGATCCACATTGTAACAACTGCTGGTTCAATGCCAGAAGTAAAATCTGGTGACCACTTAAAGAACCTGAACAGATGGCCCTCAATATATATAGCGTCCTTCACCCATGTTCGGACATAGTCTTCAAATAAAGAAAAACAAATGGCAATATGCCTAGGATCAATATTTGTAACATAAAACTCTCCTTTAATCGCCCACTTCGAGTTTATGTACTCGTGAATTACCCCCAAAGATGGCCTCCCATAAGAACATTTGCCAAACAAAGCGTGTTGAAATGGAAGACATGTAGATTGAATCTCCTCCTTGGTCCAATACAGAGATGGCTCACCATTATTGAAAACTGGCTTTTTAACCGGAATCATTATCGGAGGAACAATTGTAGAAAGAATAGACTGTGTAGGAGCTTGAGAAAATAGAGAAGAAAAGGTCATATCAGGTGGCTTTGGTGGATTCAAGCTAGTTGTGTCATTCTCATGCATTGAAAATTCTAGAGAGAAATTGGAGCTTTTCTCTCTATAAACAAAATATGATTTTCTAAACCCATGATCCAATTTGTTATAAGTTGTAGCTCATTTATAAAACGGGTTAAAAATGGATTGGACCCGTGTTGCACCCAAGTTGTTATGAACCCGCCCCGACCCCCCTTTTGCCACCTCCACTGTTAAGGTTATAAATTATGGACGGTCATCAAAAGTTAAATGTTATTTGAACAATATTTTTTCTTTGGTGGTTACATAATATATTAGACATTGTCTTTAAGGTCTTTCGAAATCCTAAGACTAACATTTCAGTTATTCATATTTTGTATTGGATTCTAGTGACTCTAATATAGCGAGTTAGATCATGAGAGGAAAATTACTTTGCCTCTTTGATGTTGTCAATTATCTGTTGTACCTGGTGTGCATGTTGTCTATATATTTTTTATTAGGAAGAAAGTTGGAGTATTGAAATTGGATGAATTACTAAGTTGGGTACTAATTTTGTAATTTTCAGGAACCATTACTAATTTTGTAATTTTCAGGAAACATTTTAATTAATGCTACCAATGTTTCTATGTCTGTGAAAATTATGATGCATTTTTTGTTGTGGGAACAAATTGTATTAATTTATTTATTTTGTTGTTGGGAGGGGGGGGGGGGAGAGAGAGAGAGAGAGAGAGAGAGAGAGAGAGAGAGAGAGAGAGAGAGAGGGAGGGAGTCAAAAACTTGAAATAAGATAGTGCGAGTGACAGACACGTGGAAGAATATACTAATTCAATGTACAACTTTTGATAAAACCTGCAATTTATGCATGGAATTTTTTAATCTCATCCATGTGTCTGTCAAAGAATATTCTAATCCAATGTACAACTTCTGATAAAACCTAAAATTTATGCATGAAATTGTTTACGTGTAGAATTATGATCTTCATTGTATAGGTTTGTAGTTACGTTAATTTTGGCCTTACAAATCTCATCCATGACACACTGGGCGGTGAAATTATTCAAGATAAATTAAAGGACTTGGAGCAGTCTTATCATGCAGAAAGAGAGTGTTTACTGATCCATTTGGAGCATCTCATCTTTGTTCATAATGCCTAGGTTCTTGACTAGGTGTCTGGTTTAATATGGAATGAATATCATCTTTTTTGAACTTTTTTAAAAATGCCAACTTTTGAATTGATATATCGGCTTAGTTAATGATCTCAAAGTTGAACTTAATGTAACTAAATACTTTTTAAGCTGAAATTTCTTTTTTGTGAGTCTTTTTTGTCTGCATTTTTGTGCTTGGGTTTGTCCACTCATCGTCAGGTATACTACTCCTTTGCTCCCAATTACTTAATTTTTTTTGTTTTTAAAATTTTGATGTCAATTTAGATATTCTCTATTGATTGTAGTACATTAAGATGCTGGAGGAAACGCCAACCTGTTGGAACTTATGGAGGCTTAAGGCAGCAATCTAAGCAATTGTGAAATTACCTACAGAGGAACTTGTAACAGGTGGACCTTAATTTGCAAAAAACTTTTTCATTGCTTCTCATTTTTGTCATGAACCTTAAAGTTCTTAAGTATCTTCCCTATGATCTCAATGATCAATATTGCTTAAGATTTCTTACAGTTACCAAATTATGCTTTGGATATGGATGACTGATGTGGATTTGTTGTCAATAGTAATGCAAGTTCCAGTAAAAAAACTTTAGGGCTTTGGAAAGAGAGGACATATGTGCATACCTTCGTAGGGCAGACAGGTTTGTTTTCTTGCATGTTTATGTGACTATTTCTTGACGACAAGGTACAGCTTGATGACAAGTAATGCTTTTGAAGCCCGAATATATGCAGCAACTGGAATTCTTGAACCATTGTTGTCCTGGTCCATACTCAACAACAGGTATGGTCACATGATCATAGGCTGCTTACCACAGTAAAGCACTCATGAAACACTTTTAGGAGGTTTTAGTGTTGCTTGACTTTTGAGTGTAAAATGTTTCAATGACATGCACTTTGGCCCTAACAACACAGCTGGTAGTCCTGTTGAAGTGAATTCTACATATAAGGTCGTAGAATTCTCTACTGGCCATATGTCATGATTTGGTTCTATGAATTTTGAGAGTTAAATATTTTTATATTTCATTGACAGCAAAATTCTTATCTTTCTTGTTATGTTTAGTCTATATGGCATTTAGTAGTTTGGGTTAATCTGGAACAAGGGGACATTTTGAGCAAGCTAAAGTTTTAGGTTGTGAAAAACAAAAAAGCTCAAGCCTAATTAAGCAAGCAATTGCTTGCAGTCTTCAATTCACTCAGCAACAAGATCACATGCATTATTATCCCATGATTGCTTCGTGCTGTGTCATTAAAAGATAGGAGGGATTGTTTAACAAAGTTTCAGGTATAATGAATGAGACTCAATTTTTTAATTCACTGTTGGAGTGCTAACATATTGGATTGTGTGCTTTGCGTCATGCATATGTGTGTTCTAGGATTTTTTGTGGTTTGACTGTGATTCTGAGCTTTGCATCATTTTACGTTTTTGGGATTTTAGAGAGCATATATAGAGATTCATGAGCCATTATCAAATCTTTGATACATGCCATCCACATGGACTTGTATATTCTTTAGCAAAACTTTGGTATTCATAATATACCTCGATCTAACCTTCTCATGGGAGAAGATAATCGACTGAGTAGTTCATATTGACTGTGCAGTACATGAGTTCTATGTCACTTTAGATTCCTTGATTTTTGAAAACAACATTACATTGATATAGATTCATGATGAATCTCATGCTTTTATGATCATTATTTTCTTCAATTTCAAATTATTCATCAGAAAAATAGTACAACTGAAAAGGTTGTTGGGCTGATTTTATTTTAATAAAACTCCTTGCATCGCCCGTGATTTGCCCAAAAAATTGTGATCGACTGATCGATATTTTAATTTATTTATTAAAAACTTTATTCAAAATTGAGTAGTTGAGAATTGATATGTATTTTTCAAATTTCACTTCAAGAAATATCACAAAGTAAGAACAAAGCATGACCCCGACATGGAACATACCATGATCCATGTGCAAGCACAGACACGACTAGGGCATAACACAAGCAAACATATGTCAAGTAGGCACGATTAACATTGTCTCTCTCTCTCTCTCACACACACACACACACACACACACTAATACACAAACTCAAGCATGTGTTGTTAACACACTCTCACACACACAATATACATACGCACATACACATACTACTACATAAAAAAAATTTACATATTAATACACCAAAACACACAATATTAGTACAAGCACTCACCCATGCATAAGTGCTCCGCGCATCTCTGACACGTCCTGTGAACCTAAATGTGCAATAGTGTGTATGTGTTTCTTTGGTGTTTTAGTGTGTTTTTGTGTTGATGTGTTTTTTTAGTATATAAGTGTGTGTGTGAACAGAGTGTGGGTATATTTGTTTTGTTTTAGTATGTGTGTGTGTTTTTGGTGTATGTGTTAGTTTGTTTTTGTGCGTACGTTTGTGTTTGTTTTATTCTGTTTATTTTTTTTGGTGTATTAGTGAGTGTTAACACAATGTGTGTCGGTGTGTATGCTAGGGTGTATTAGTGTGTGCGCGTGTTTCGGTGTATTAATGTTTATTTTGTTGTGTATTAGTGTGTGTGCATTTGTGTTCGGGTAATGGTGTGTGTGGGCGTTTGTGCTTGGGTAATAGTGTCTTTTTGTATGTTAGTGTTTGTTTTTGGTGTATTAGTTGTGTTAACAC